AAACTATGCGTGACTCGAATTTTGTTTCTACCCTTGGCGTTGAATTACGAGAACCGCGTAATTAACTTACCGCGAGCTACCTATGCCGAAAGTATAATAAAATTCCATGCAACAAACAAGAACGATAAACACGAATAACATGTCTGGCTCGACCCCGCCCCTTAATCATTTTAAACCGACGATAAACATGCCCGACTCGTTTGAACGTCGTCGATTAATAATTTTCTACCAAGCAATCATTCTAATTAGCATACGAATGCTGTCCTTTCTCGGATTGGGAATAACTGGTGGACATTCTCGATTCATCGTGTAACAATGGTAACCGGAAGTCGGCTTGAACTCGTTCATGCCACGTATACAAATTGCCCTACGGTCTAGGTAAGGAATACCGGTTTTGCAACAAGCTGTAGAACGAAGTTCTCTCGAGGCGCAGTCACGCACCGACATACTGCCTTAAAGACACGTTATACGAGAGAGAAAGTGGCTTCTCCCCTTTCGCATTAAGTAATCCAACGATGAAAAACGTAAAAATGATGGAAGAACGTCTGGACCGCGTTCGTGTGACGTCATCGAGGAGCTTCCTTCGTCCTGGCGCCTAATGGATTCCCCCAGCCGAAGGAACTTAGAGTAATGTAATTAGAGTAATATAATTCCACATCGCGGCGGTAATTGCGAACCGTTCGAGTATCGATCACCTTTGCGACCATCGTTTATGACTCTTATTACCATCGTTTTTTTTCTCCTTTCTCCCCTGTTACGAGACGTTTATATCGTCCATTTCTCGCCGTTACGTCTGATCGAGTTCCAATTTCTTTTAATTTGCCGTCAGGGGCTGTAGATATGTTTGACTGTAGCTATAGGGAGGCCAGTCAGCCATTGGCATCTCTAATGGAAGGATTACGAAGGATTACAATTGCAAAATAGCGTGAAGCAAGAATTGCGTGAATGTAAAGAACGAAAGTATGTAAGTCTGGTACATTAACCCTTTATTTACTGAATTTCTCAAAAGTTTTTAAAATCTAGGCGCCCTTCTTGGTCTTATATCGTCTCATAGAGTTGTCTCTAACAAGCTTCCGAGAAAAGCTTGTGCTTGAAAGTCACAATAGGTTTCGAAGCGTTTAAATGAATAGAGTATCACGAGAAAACTGACGGGACTTATAAGTAAATAAAGGGTTAAATGTTTTAGTCAAGTCATTCAACTTCAAGCGCTTATAAATAAAACTCATTAGCTTCAATCTCTTCTAATTCATTCGCAAGTGTAAAATTAGTTGTAGATATCGCATGTTTAAGTGTGAAGGACACGGAAAACACGGAGGAAAGCGATCGTCATTAGAATAACAACAACCACTTAAAGAAAGTGACAATTGAGGACGTGGAAGGCCGTCTACTGTGTAAACAGCAAACAGTGCCAAAAGAAAGTTAACCGAGTGCTAAATATGACTGGAATTCCGGGTCATTCTAATATTGCGAATGCAGTAGTACCTTCCACTGTGACTATTGATAGCTAGACATGACTACGCACCACAATTTGCAGCACTTTACATACAATAACGCGAATGAAAACATGTTGAACAGTGGTTAAACGTTGTATACATCACTGCTATGTAAAGCATTCAATATTTAACAAAAAAAAAAAACATTACATTTTCTGAATACAAAAATGTTCAACCGAACGGTGAACATTTTGCAAAACGTTTCTTTTTCAAATTTTATTTCAAACGTGAAAAGGAAATAATTGAAAACGTTAGGTACTGGGCGTAGAAGTAAAAATAAGTACACGTCCGATTGTAACGCGAGATACACGGTTACGCGCTGTTATTAGACTAACCTTGATGACATTCTACGACACGCAAGGATAATAGAACGTTGAAACAACGGAGCGTTCTAATGATAGGAAACGGATAAAAAAAAAAGGTTCCACGGTGTTTCTAAAGCAGCGAAGTTCTACTCGAAAATAAGAAGCGGCCAAGAAAAATAGTCAGGAGATTGCGACCGTCCGAGACCAACTCTTTCCTCGTCTTGCGACGCGAGCAATTGCGTGAAATTGCGATCCGCAGGCGGTTGTAAGATTCAGCGTTATGATTCAGACGCTTAAACAAAAACAAACCCACTCGGGGATTGACATCATCGTACCTGCATCATCGTGTCTGCATCATCGACGCATAGCTAGGCGCGAGTTTCACGATGCTGTCGTGACTTAGCGCGGGAAATCGTTTTCTCTCGACTCGCTGGTATTTGCCAGCCACCGCTTGTTGCACGACGGTGATTTATGTCGAAAAAGACGGAACAACTAAGGAAACGACGGTGGAACGTCGCGTCGCTTCAGTCACCGGGTTCGAAGGTTAAGTCAACGATATAAAAACCGTTTAAAACGTGCATCTCGTCTCTGGAAATTTCCAAGAGTCAGCACCGAATCCCTCGTTTAAAGGTCAAGACATCGCAATGTTTTAATTGGGCGCAGTTGTTGGGCCTGGAATAGATTGTATCCTGCTTGATCTAAACCTGACTTTCTCATTTAAAAGCAATGATAGTTAAATCCACGTCGAGTCTTGTCTTCGCGGTCGATAAACATAATTGCAGTACTCTCGATTTAATGCATTTTGGGTTGAACGAACAGGATTCCATGGTTCTGTGTCGGTTACTGTGTTGTAGGCCTCTCGGTTCTTAGCATCATTATCTCGAAATTGGATAATTTCTCGAAAACCGTGTCACCTCGGTCTGTACCCACGATATTGGGAGAGAATGCCCTTGGATGGAATGCAGATTTATCGAAGTTGTCAAAAAGGGTCATAAAATACATTTCATATTTTCATACGCTTGGTATCTAGCGAACTGAGAAAGAAAATGTTTTTTTACGTCTCTGTTTCGTTCCCCTTTCTTCGCTCAGATAAATACAGAGATTCGGATGATAACTGGAGAAATTTTTGGAGAAGTTATAGTTGAAGGCTACCGAAACGTTTCGCGTGGAATCCGAACCGAGAAGGGGAAAAAAGAATGATCGAGGAAAAAGTCGAAGGGAGGACTCCTTTCAGTCGGTCGAAAGTTACGCTGCGAGACCGAGGTCATCGAGTTTTACACACTCGTCGTACGTTCGTTGGGCCCAGGTTATGATGCTCGCGTCTACTATTACGTCCAGGTTTCAAACGCGTTCAACAATAGCGCATTCCGTAACAATATGGATGCTGGCGAATTCCTGGCCAATCTGAACCAGGATTTATTGCCACGATTTACTCTTACCCGTCCCGACCAACGCTTGATCGTTTAAAACTACAGACGAATACGATACTTAAGAACGAATAAGGTGTAATTAAAAATTCGAGCATGAAATATTTTCCAACGAAGAAATCAAAGTCAACTGGATCGTTACTTTTTTTCATCATCATTTTATCAACGCTAAATTTTCTTTTATTTCAACAACGAACACGTGTCAAAATAAACATAATCCTTATCGTTTCTGAAAAATAATTCCAAAGTGATTCCGAAAGCAGTTAATAATTTTCAAATTTTAATAAAAGGCCAATAACGGTGGATTCCGAAACGATATGGATGTTGTGAATTCCTGGCCGCCATTCAGGACCCAAGATTTATGACTACGACTACAGCTTCTCGACACACGCGCAACACATACGCTTTTTACGGTCGTCGCCTCTACACGACTGGAAATCCATGGCGCAGGTGTTGCCGTGCCCGTTATTCAACGATCGATTTTCGAAATCGAGATTATTCGCGGGGATTTCGACATGCAAAACAACTCGAACGAATCCCCGTCGCCACTTGCAACACTGACCACCGTGACTCCGTGGGCGTTAGTTAATTTGTGCATTACCGTCCCGCTGCGCTAGATCGGATCTAATTGAACTTCCTTACCGATTCGCCGTCGACGCGAACGATGACGGATCGCTCAAAGTTTCTTTTTATACGCGAAAAAAGAACCTAGACCGTAATTGAACGCTCAATTATCGAGGACCAATCGAGTCGAGGCAATTAAACTCGCGCTGATGACATTCGCATGGTGATTCAATTTGATATCTCGTTACAAGCTAACTGCGGGTAGTTTGTGCGAAGACAATGAGTCAGTGATGTCAAATAATGCGATTACTTGTTGGAAAATTTATGTATGTTAACACTACCGACTAGTAGCAATGGGGCATCCAATTAAATTCAATAACATTTGTTATTTTGACAACATTCGTGTTACTCAATGTTTATTTTAGCTATTAGAATCGTCTTTTAATTGATATTTATGTGATATTTCGTAATTCGTACAATAATGGGGACATAAAATGTTATTTCAATAGTAGATAACAAAGTATTATCCTATCCAAATATCGAAAGGTTGGTCAAGTGTTAATTAATCTACACTTATGGATCGACTAAATTAATTTCAACCCTACGGATTAAAATAAACTAATGGAGCAAAATGCGCCGAATATAAAATGTATCAGCTCCATTTATTTACACGTTTTATTTCCCAACGCAAAGAGGTCATCCCCGAGGACGAAGGAAACAACATTATACCATATACCATATCGAAAGGTCGGTAAAGTGTTAATCAGTTGATACTTATGGATCAACTAAATTTCAACTCTACGGATTAAAATAATCTAACGGAGCAAAAATGAGTCGTATATAAAATGTATCTGCTTTAACTCTTTGCGGCACACGAATTCAGGTCATAAAATATACCCATGTTGCACAGGAATTTTGATTGCGTTTTAAATCAAACAAAATTGTTATATTTTTATTAATAAGGGTATCACACCTATACACATGCAGCTATTGCAAAATTTCGAGGTGGGATTAAAAATGTCCCACCATGCATTACGGTCCATCAAAAAGGTAGGACACTTTCAATCCCACCGTGCCCCAAAGAGTTAAAACAACATTATACCATAAAGCTGAGTTTTCTAAACATTAACGAAAGAGGATGATTCTCTCTAAACTGGCAAGTAACGCAATGATTATGACACTCGTTTCATTGAAGATGGAATCGTACTCACAAACGTTCCGTATGTCGGCTGCCCTTTAGTCGTCGCCGGTGGATAGAAACTTCTTTCGTCGATGAAACGTGACACCGTTCCGCGAGCACACGGGTCGAAACTGCGACTTTTCCGTGGGAAACGAATCACTGTGCGTTCTACGATTAGGGGAAAAAAAGCACGGGGCACGTCGTTCTGAAAAATATCGTCGTTTAATTTCAGGCACGAGGCTGTGGCTCACCGTGACTCGAGTATTGGCGGTGGACACGCGCGATTTCAGTCCGGGGTCTGAGTGAAACTGAAATGGTAAAACCGACTTGAGCTCTCTCGCACTATGTCCCGCTCCCTCTCCTTCTATACTTTACTCTGCCACTCGGTCTCCCTGATTATCTCCCTCTTGCTCACGTCGTATTTCCCTCCACGTTACCCACCGAGTTACACCACGCTTGTTCTCTCCCTCTCCATCTTACTTGAATCCCCCTTTTTCCACAACGAGTCATCGCTTACTACTCGTGTGTTTCCCTGTGTGTACACACAACGCGCTTGGTGGCTTCTATGCTTCCCGCGTGTAAGCCAGTGTGAGCATTATGCGTCGCGACGCACCAAAGAATCCAACGATCTCCGGAGAGCTACCGAAAGTAGGGTACAAGGTACTTAGGTACGAGTCTTTCGTCGTTGCGTGCCATACACAGCGTTGTTCAAAACCTCTGCGATCACCTCTGTTGATTAGTAAACTTTTTACTCGCGCCATGCAAAACCAAACCGTACAGTGGGTGTAGAATGTATTCGTACACCGATCAATTTCCAAAAAAGCTTTTCTGTGAAATTGTAGTTTCTTAACTTCTTTTTTTATAAGCAATGATATTTTACATATTCTCGGAAGTCTCTAAGATAAATATAGTCCAAACAACATTTACTAGTTAATACAGGGTGTCCCAAAAATGTTGTAACCCCTTGAAAGGGGTGATTCGGGAGGTGATTTGAAGCAACTTTTTCCTTAGCGAAAATGTTGTCCGAGGCTTCGTTAAGGAGATATTAAGAGAAAACTTCGACCAATCAGAGCGCGCGTATACCATTGGAGCGACCGCGGTAGCGAAGGCTACGACCTAAGTGGCCGCGCTTGTACGCAAACAAGTGACTCGACGTGCATCGAAGGACATTGACGCGGCTGCCTAGCTCGTAGCCTTCGCTACCGCGGCCGCTCCAACGGTATACGAGCGCTCTGATTGGTCGACGTTTTCCGTTAATATCTCCTCAACGAAGCCTCGGACAACATTTTCGCTAAGGAAAAAGTTATTTCAAATCACCTCCTGAACCGTCTCTTTCAAGGTGTTACAAAATTTTTGGGACACCCTGTATATTTTGTGAAATTAACAAAAAAAAATGCGACAAGTAGGTAAAAGTATAGGAGCAATTAGTACTTGTACGATTTACAGTAGAGTTTGTAACGTAAACACATTAGTTTATTGCTCCGTACGAATTAGAAAAGATCAAATTTCCAGGAAAGTACTCTTAAACAGTTGTCCGAATACTTATTGCTTTAACATTTTTATCGATTATTTGTTTTTTTCTTGTTAGTTTCGCAACTTACATAAATAGCTATCTTGTTTGTAAAATATCTATTCTAGAGATTTCCAAGAATATGTAGAATGTCATTGTTTATAAAAAAATAAGTTAATAAATTACAATTTTAGACAGTTCTTTTGAAAGGAATCCAGTTCTACATCGAAATGTAACATATTTTTTCTTCCTCGAGTATGTATACAAACGTAGCAGGTTAAATTGCGCTCATAAGGGAACGAAAAATGTTTGATATACAATTTATTAAAAACTAAACGATTAACGTTATGGCGAGTTTGTAGTCACTGATGCTTTTTCGTTGGAATGACTTCCTCTGCTTTTCTCGTTGATGATCTCACAAAGCGATCATTCAACTGCAAACTCTCTAAATTTGTAAAAGCATCTTGCTCGCGTTATGAGCGCGAACCTTTGCATACGTTCGTTGCGTACAAATTGATACAACAACAAGTAATAAGCCAATCCACTTGCGTGCAGCGTATCACGTACGCACGAGGTACCTCGCGATGAACGATACGACGAAAAAGGACACGACTGCATATAAAATCAATTGACAATGTAAAATGAAGTACTTTCCTACGACGATTACATTATTCAAACGTGCTTGCAGGTTGCGCAGAGTGGAAAGAAGAAACGAGAGTTGCAGTGATGGAGGCAGTTGGAAGATAAGGTGAGAATATCGTTTGAGCACCTTGAACAGGTGATTTTTATACAACTATAGTCACTGATGCGTTGCATCCTGTGACCGTTTTGCTCGAATTTTCAAAATAGATTTGACCTTCTAATTTCATTTAATGATTAATTTTACTGGTATGAATTCTTTTCGATTAAGCACTTTATAATCACTGGATGTAACGAGTAATTAGTGAAAGATTATTCAAACATTGAAGACCCAGACAGTGAGAAATGAAACACTGTTGCACGCGATATTTCTGCGTAGCATTTCAATTTTTCACCGGTCTGTTAGGTGAATAAGCAGATATTTCCATTTTCACGGTAGGAAGAAATAGAGTGGAAAAATTGAATTTGAATATGTTCAATTTCTTAGACAGAGAAAAACTTTATTTACCAGTTGAAGCCGCTAAACGTTAAAAAAATCTGAGTCCTCCCTCCCATCCAGCATTCTGTCGCTAATCGAATGGTTACATACATTGGAGACTAAACGATAGTTAAATAAACCTTTTACTCACTCCTCGAGGAACATAATTGCAGTCGTTGCACGCTAGAGCTGGAAATAGTAGCTTCTTTCCGCGGAATCGCATAAAAGTCCGGTCCTGTATTATTTATACCCCGTTCGACGCACCTTTAGCATCGCAATTATTTTTCTCCTTCGGCTGACCCAGTAATGCAAAGATCATTTTCTCCCACGTTCGTACCGTGCAATTAAAGTGTATAGGACGTCTATGAGTAGAAAACATTAACAACCAGCGCTTTCATTTTTTTTTCTTTTTTTTTAAAGAATACGATGTTTGCATTTCGAAGGTGTCGCAACGAATCTAAACGAAGAACAAGCGCGATAATAGTCTCGGCGCGTGTTGTACGTGCGTTTCGTTAACGAGAGGATTTAATGACATACGATGATTGGCGTTCGCGAAGCACGGTCAATTTTTACGGATCGGTGCAGCGATATGGGCGGGTCTTCTCGTTCTTAACCGTTCCTATACGCTTCCGTCATCTCCAGAGTTAGTTCCTATCTGGTCTAATTTCATCGTTTATTCAAACGGGACTCCACCCGTGTAATAATCGTCAGCTGAAATTGGAACGATCAGCGGTTAATGCCTTTCTTATTCCACGACGGGGGTTTGGCGTTAGTGACCTCCGTGAACTTGGTGACCATAATTGCTTTACGATCGAGACGTATTTAGCGTTCCCTTCCGAAAATGATACAATTCACAGGACCGAAATTATGTGAAATAATAAATTATCAAGATTTTATGGGTACATTTGAAAAGAACGAGGGACTGTGTTCTTTCATTTAGGCAACATCCAAGGCTATGTATATTATATTTACGGTAATATTACTCTAATACTAATATTAATATTATTACCTCTGGTTTCCCTTTAAACAGGGCCGGCGCAAGACAGGTTCAGCGCGTTCGCCGGAACCCGGCCCCGCGTTTTAAAAGGTCCCGCGGTCTACGAAAATTACTGAATTAAAAGGCATCGATTTTGATTAACTTTTTACAGACTGATGATACCATTAACAAATGGAAGCAATTTCTGCTAAAATGCAAGACATTTTTTTAGTAGCGATGATTAAATTGAAAGGAGTAACAAAAATCATCAAAGTATTATTATGTAATATTCATCTTATAAAAAATATTGGGTTGTCCTAAAAGTTTCTTTCGTTTTATTAATAATTAATATATACACAATATTGTATGTTTTATGTTACATTACTGAATTGTGTACGATTCATTTCGCTTCATTACTGCTACAGCATCAATGTCTAAGAAATTAGATTGTCTGTTTATATAAACACTGTCACAGAAAATAATTGAATGCAACTCACGAAAGAAACTTTTCGGGCAACCTAATATATAGCATTTGTAAATAAATAATTCCTCGTTGTAAAATTGAAGTGTAGGATTTGAATGTGAATTCATGCCCCGCAAAATTTTTGAACCCGACCCCGCAAAAGATCACGCCGACCCTGCCTTTAAATCTTTCTTTATATTAATGTTATATTTAAATTACCAACCTTTCAGTTTCTCAACTTGATTTCCATTATTTCCGTAATTTGTATATTGTGTTTATATGTTATATATTTTAATTTGTTTTTAAATCAAAGGTTTTACAAGAATTTATATATGGTGGACACGTTGTTCCATTTACGTAAGTCGAGTAGAAAGAACGGTTACGGATCCGAGGAATTCCAAGCATTGAGAAACGTTACTCTCACTGTTCACCGAAACTTGATTTTAGAACCTAACGCGACACAGGGTCCGTCTGACCCATTTTTCGCGCCAGTTACCGTTCGAGCATTTTTTGATAATGATCCACTCGTCGTTTAAACCTCCTTTGTGCAATTTCTACAAAAATTCTGGCGTAACCCGTTTAGATAGAATTTTAGAATTTGACGTACCTTGATACGCTGAAAGATTTATTATTCTTTAAAGAGTTCCATGTAAAAAAGTAGCCTTACAAATGGAAGTAAATAGAGAAGAGAATTTTTCGTTTGCGATAGAGACGTAAAATATCCTATAAAATATTAGATAAACGGATGCTTGTTAATTGAAAAGTCAACAGCGATGGTGTTATTTTTAAATGTCTAGCGATATATCGATACTGACGTATAATTACAGACGTACCGATATATCGATCTTTAAAATCACTGTGCACGAAACGTTCAAGATGGTGGCAGTGAATTTGAGGTCCAATAGGCGCGGTTCCTTTTATCCATTGTTTGGAAGAATCAGAAGGTACCACAGCGTTTAGTGAACGATAACAGACGCCTGGCAAAAGATTTGATTTCACTTGACGATTATTGATGCCTCGAAGACCCGTTCCATATTGGTTTACACGTCAGCTGACACATGTTTATGTACGAGTTGAATGCACGCATGTAACGCACATGAAATTTCTTTTGGGAGAGTCGGCGAACTAATGAGATTGGCTCGATAAAAAACCTTGGTTCGAGAATGAAATGACAGTGAATATTATGGAAAAGTTGAAGGACAAAGGGTGGTGCGTATAAAACTTGATGAATTCCCGTAGTTACACGACAGTGTTTTTACAGACGTGATACCTCTTGATTGAGCATATAAATATTCATGAATGTTTGAATTAGGTACATCACAGATCATGGTTACAATTTAGGAAGTGATTCTGGAAGTGTTACCGATGTTCACAAAATCATAAAGCGATTGTTGGATGTAAGAACTGCTTATTATATAATTTTCTTCTACGATAAGTAACTTAAGAGTATCTTCAGGTTTCTTATTTGTTCCGTAGCTTGATTTGAGAGAAACTGGTAGTGGTCAAGGAGATGTTAGTCAAGGTAATATTGTCCTGCAAATACAAAAAATACGTAATGTTTCTGCTCCAAAGAACAACGAAGAATCTCGTGCAGCTCCACGTTTATTGAAATTATCTTTAACTGATGGTAAAAATAACTTCCAAGCTATAGAAGCTGAACACATCTCATCTTTGAGGTATAAGAACAAATTATCCTATTCATAGTGTGGGTAAAGAACAGGTTCTATCATTTGAATAATCGTGTTTTAGTTTAAATACTCCTCCTGGTACAAAAATACTAATAGCTTCAGGAAATTTGCCAATGTCCCATGGAATTATTTTATTAAAACCATCTCACATAGCCCAAGTACTTGGAGGGAAAGTAACAAACCTTGTGGAAAAATGGGAATTGAACAAAGTGAGTTATATTATTTAAATCTCATCTATACGGAACTAAAGAATGTATTTTATAACAGAAATTGGCACTGCATACACGAGTGAGATCAGCCGAAGAAGGTGGACCCCCACCATGGATACCATTTGGCAAAAAGATTATAAAAGTTTCTGAACATGACAAAAATTTTAAAGCATTGGCTGAGAAAGAAAAGTGTACTAAAGAAAATGCGGAATTCGAAGCTCAACGGAAGGATGCAATAGCAGAAGCTGCTAAGCAAGGTAGCAAAAAGATTTTTGGTGGTGGAAATAAGCAGGTATGTTGTATTAAATATATAACACTATATTTATATTTAAAGCAACATTACCATGACCTGTTGAATGTTATAGCTTTTAGATCACAGTGTACAAAAAATTGTGGATCAAGGCTTTTCTATAGAACAAGCAGAGTATGCCTTGAAAGTTAATCGTAATAACGTCGATAGAGCTTTGAAAAGTTTGCTAAAAGCAGACAATAAACACAAGTATATCTGTTTTCTTTTATTTTAAATTGCCACGGTTGCATATTCTTTTTATTAATAATTTTATTGTAATGATTTTAGCACATTCAAAGAATCTCGAGAACCTCGAACTAAACGATTTGATAAGAAAGCTGAAGAAAATAAACCGAGTAGCGGAAAAATATCTCTTTTTGATTTTCTAGAAGACAAATTACCTTTACAGTCCGAGCCTACCGAGACGTGTAATCCATCCCAAAATAGCTATCCGCATACAGAATTTAATTACGATAGAGTTGAATCCAAAAGTAACGAAGCACAAAGTGGAAAAAGCGGAAGGTATATTTTTTTTAGACTAATATGATAGCATAATTATAACAGCCGTCAAAAGTAAGCGTTTCTTTCCTTTCGATAGAGCTCAAAAAGGGGGTCGTGGATATCAAGTTCCTCCCAGACATTCAGAAGAAAATAAAAATAATAAGAAAACAAACTTTAATAACCTTGTTACCCCACAGTATTCGCAATATAATGGGGGAAGTAACTCTCAACAAAATAAACCACCGAGATTTCAACGAAATCAAGATAGTCATAGTTATGGTCTGCAAGATTCAGGAACTAAAATGTACCAAAAATCTCACTTGAACGATTCCCGAAATTCCGGTTTACAAACACGTACAGACGGAACAAACATTACAGATACCACGAATTATTATAAAGCTCCACAGGATCAACAAGGGAAAAGTTTCGGTACCAGCAGGAATTATAATCATCATGAAACTGATACCAGGCATAGACAGAGTTACGATGCTTCTTACGGTAGGCATAATCGAGCACAGGAAGATGGAACACATAGAGCTTTTCCTGTAACCACAAATGATAAAAATGACAAAAACCAATCGAATAGATATCAACTGAATGACAATTTCGATGGCAAAGGGACTATTGGACCTAACCATCAAAGAGGTCAATACCATTATAGTAACAATCAAAATACAAATGTTTCTATGGGCAGCACTTGGGTTTGGCGAATAGGTGATAAATGTTTAGCGAAATATTGGGAAGATGACAGGGTAAATAATGAAAAATATGTATATGTATAATTCTTCTAGATTAGTGTATACATATATAATATAATTATTGTTCATGCCATTTAGTACTATAATGCAAAAGTAACCGGAGTATCAAATACAACCTGCGTCGTCCAGTTCAAAGGATTTAAAAATTATGAAGAAGTACTCCAAACAGACTGCTTGCCTATAACAGACGATGTACGTAAATTATTTTTAATTATATCGATTGCTTAATATTTATTATAATTAATCTCTGTTCTACATGTGATTACATCAGCCTCAAGTTCAAGATTACGGAATGGACCAGAAACAACCAGATCAACAGTTTAATAACAGACAGCTTCGTTATGATCAAACACAAAAACATATAGCTGGTAAATGAAAATAATTTGTATGAAATACGTATTCATCTAATTATAAATATATAAAGATACGTTTCATGGATTGTGCAGCGGGTATGGAATTTCGAAGAAGTGGAAATGGAATCGTTCCTACAAATAAAGCTGGTTACAATAAAAAGCGTAGCCAGCAACGAAGTGCGCAGCCTATTTATCAGCCTCCAGCGCAACGATATCAAAGTTCTATGCCTATGAATACTCAAAATAATTCCTTACTTTAATGTACCGTCAGTTTTTCATTTTAGTAAAAATACTGGACATCGCTGAATTGTTTAATTGTAGTTGTGTTATTTTCGAAGACTGATCTCGTGAGAAACAGTACATACTACATACTCAGTGCGTATGATGGTTTAGATGTCAATAAAATAAATCGCGATATAAACAAGTCCTGTGCCACAAAATAATTTATATTCGTAAACAAAAGTTGTAATAAGTGTACAATTATAGTACGAATTGAATCCTTACGCAGTGAAAGTGAAACTAACAATTAAAGACATTAATATAAGCTGTTTATGTTCTCTAATCATCAACGTATTTATATTCTAGAACCATCGCATACTAATGTCGGAGAACTGTGCAGCGTTTCGATATTTCGTCCACTTCCGCTAACACTTAATTCAAATGCATAATGTAAATTATGCTGTATATTATTTGTAACTAATTTGTAATTATAGTTACTTAGAACGAATTACCGCTGTGAAAGTTAATAGCACGTTCGAATTTGCAACAATAATTGTACTGCATTTATTATTTACCTACATCCCATCTGGTCCAACATGAATTTTATAATTTAAAATTTCCACACTTGAATGTCATACGTAAATTTTTTCTTAATTTTTATTGGATATGTACGTGCAGTAGAAATAAATGAAACCTGTTCGTGAACCTCCACGCCATCTTCCGTAAACAGACGCTGTGCAAAATCTGTCTATGGCGACCGCGCCATGTCATTTCTATTTACAAATTTATTAATATATTTCCTAAATATATTTTCTTTCAGTCGAGTTTCATGCATGAAAACAGTGCTACTATTTGGTGGCCTCGGTGATTGAAACAATTTTAACGTTTTATTGCTCGGATGCCGGAGATGCCACCGCTATCGGGTGGTTTCGGTGAACAAATAGAGGTTAGTAATTTAAATTTGTACGCTCACCTTTTTCGATTCAAACGTTTAATTAATGAATTCCATTGCCAGGATTACGAGGTATTGAATTTACTTGGAAAGGGAGGCTTCGCCAGCGTATATCGAGCAAAATGTCTTCGCAGTGGAATAGAAGTAGCGATAAAAATGGTAATTTATATGGAATGTCGTTACAAATACCTGTTGCACCTTTAAATTTGAAAATGACAACTCCCGTTCACGCTTGTTTACTTATTTCGATGAGTACTATATATATATCCAATGAATGAATTAAGAATTTTAGCACATTCTGTATATATTTGCATCTGGTACAGTTGTGCACAAATGTATATTTTTTGTCAAAAAGAAAAAAAAGAATTGTATAAATTTAGATCGACAAAAAATTGATGCAAGCTGCTGGGATGGTGGGTAGAGTACGTCAAGAAGTAGCTATTCATTCAAGATTGAAGCATCCAGCGGTACTCGAATTGTACACATTCTTTGAAGATGCCAATTATGTTTATTTGGTATTAGAATTGTGTCACAATGGGGAGCTACAACGTTTTCTTAAGATCCAAGGCTCACATGCGTTACCTGAAGAACATGGTATAAATGTAGATAAATTTATAGTACTTATTGTTTTGATACTTTCCAGGAATTATACATACTTTATTATTACAGCTGGTAGAATAATTAGACAAGTAGTTCAAGGATTGTTGTACCTACATTCCCATCAAATACTTCATAGAGATATGTCTTTATCTAATTTGCTTTTGACTAGAGACATGCAAGTGGTAAAAAACACTACTGAAAACATTTTTTACTTACTTGATAATCCTGTTAAAAGTATCAAACATAAATAATTTTAATTATAGAAAATAGCAGATTTTGGGTTGGCTACTCAATTGACAAGGCCTGATGAGAAACATTTGACCATGTGTGGTACTCCTAATTACATATCACCTGAGATAGCAACAAGGTCATCTCATGGTTTAGAGGCAGACGTTTGGAGTTTAGGATGTATGCTGTACACCTTGCTAGTCGGCAAGCCTCCGTTTGATACAGATGCCGTTAAGAGTACTTTAACACGCGTCGTCATGGCTGATTATGTAATGCCAGCTTATTTATCAGACAATGCCAAGGACTTGATAGATAAATTATTAAAAAAGAATCCAAAAGACAGAATTCGTTTGCGTGACATTCCAAAACATCCATTTATAACCACCTTAGAAAGAAATAAATTGTACAGTGTAAGTAGCATTTAAGAAAGTAATTATTAAATTTTATTATCACTTTATTATAAATATTCTTGTATTAATAGGAGAAGAATGGCACAAGCAAGGCACTGATCGGTGATGGTATGATTGACTCAGGAGTTGGAAGAACATTATCCTCTTATGGTAGACCGAGAATGCGTTCCAGATCTGAGGAAAGAATGTCAACAATGCCTACGATGTCCAATGGTTACGGACCGATGGTTAGTGCGAGGAGCGAAGCTTTATCCGAGCCTATTGCAAAAACACATTCGCATAAAAACAACTACGTAGATTATCGTCCAAAAGAGACTTCAGTGTTGGCTGGAATACCACCACCACCACAGAGTAGAATATTTTCGCAAAGTCAACAATGTAGCAATGTATACGAGGAGCCCGATAAACACAAAACTAGTAGATACAAAAAGAGGGAAAAGGTTGAGAATTGTTTCGAAGGTACCGAGGATGTGACAAAATTGCAAGTTCCCCCTTTATCTTCGGAAAGACTTCAACCTACCAGACATAGGACAAAGAATGCGATACTTACAATTTTAGAAAATGGAGAAGTTTGCATTGAATTTATCAAACGCAGGAGTGGAGTGGTAAGTATAAAGAAAATTTTAATATCTTTTAAAATCCCTAATCTACTATTCTTTCTTTGCTCCAGGAAAGAGTAAGCGAAGTGTGTAGAATATCAAGCGATGGTTTGAGAGTCGTTCTATATAAACCAACTGTCTCCACGGAAGTTGGAGCGCAACCACCCCCGTTACCATCTCGCGGAGCGGATAGTATTTATTCGTATGAAAATCTACCGCCACGGCATCACAGAGAATACGTATACGCTTCTCGCTTTATCAAACTCGTGAGGGCAAAAACACCAAAATTGACGCTGTACACGCAACGATCGAAATGTCTTTTTATGGAAAATGGACCAAATCCAGATTGTGAAGTTCATTTTTATAATGGAGTTAAGGTACTGTGATGTATCTCATGATTAGAGATAAGCAAAATTTTATTCGAATAAAAATTTATTGTTAACTGTTCCAGGTTGTACGAGTCGATGGCACTGTAAAGATAACTGAAAGAAGTGATAGTCCTACCTACACGGAAGGTGAATTTCCATCACACTTCGACGATTATTATGAACATTATTCGGAATGTTATCAGCGCTGCCTGTTGTTAGAGTCTACTTTAACATCTTTAGAAGCAGCTACCGGACATTCTTGTTTTCCAGTCATAATTGGACGTAGGCCTAGCGCGGCCTTAAATGATGCTCCTTGTTTACAAGGAAAAGAAAATGTTTCACAGGCAACAAACCATACACCTGTGGTATGTAACAAAATACAATGTTTTTATATGTCTCGTATAGTTATAATTCATTCTCCTACGTTCATGTTTCAGATGCCGTCTTTCGATGCTAGCTGCTCTATTTCGACGGTAGCATCCCGATCGCACAAAATGAACTCCATACGAAATTTAAGTAATAATATGAGTAAGGTAGTAGTTCCGGGTATAGGTACTGCGACGCAGTTATCATCTGGAGATATTCGTCTCGATTATAAGGATGGTTCTACTTTAACAGTAAGTACACCCTCGAATAAAATATATTAGAATCTGTGATTATGTACATTAAATAAATTTATTGTTTTATTAGGTAAATCCTCAAAGCTATGGTGGTGGCATAATTTATGAGAGTAATAATGGTACCGTTACGAGATACAATCAACATTATCAGAATATGGATGTGCCGCACATTGTTAGAGAAAAATTACGTCATCTACCAACAGTTATCAAATATTTAGTTCAACCGAGGCATAAGAATATCCGCTAGTGCTGAAACGTGCATTTAGAGAATGAAATATTTTGTATAGTAGCTTTAAAGTAGGTTTAACTACGATAAGAACAAAAGTATTTTTATAGATTTATTAAATGTATTGTATCTCTCTAATTAATTATAAAGTCATCGATATTTTAAATATAATGAGAGAGACTTGGTTTATTGTACTTTGTATGTGCTTATATTTAAGTTTTTATTTATAAAATTATAATATAAGTTTACACAGAACATTCGAATTGGTGTTCTGAAAACATCAAATTAATATACATTTCATACGAATGTTAATAAACATAAACGAATGTATACACATGTCCTTCATTCTGCAAAAAAACTAATAAAAGTAATATTTTCTATCTATTACAAAACAATTTAATTTTGATAAATCTACAATCGCAATTCATGGACACATGACGAATGGTATTTATCACCATTTAGCGGTGAGCACCAAACTAATTTTTCGACGGTATGTATATATATATAATTATTAACCTGCTAATATTTCATTCTCCTGTGATAAATATTAAATAAACAGAAATAATAAATGTATGACATAATAAAATGGTTAACGCACGCGTGATTATGTCAAAGTCATTATACATGCATGCAAACTGTCATTCATGGACATATTGGAAATATGGCTGTTGATTAACCATTGACCTGTGCCAACTTCACCGAACAAGGATAGTGACTCGGGGAATGAATAGATATATCAACGATTAACATTTAACTGTAATAATAACGATACTGGATAACAAATGTTTCGACCAAACGCTTCGACACGACACAACGGAATCACGGAATGAGTGCCGAATGGTTGTCGTTCCCCACTCCACGCGTTCAAACACGCGCATGCGCAGAGCGGTACGCCTTTAGGCGAATCCCCACAGACACAAAATTGGTATCGCCATCTAGCGATTAACAGGCCGAACTAATTTTTCGAAGGTATGATATATATATGACACTTATTAACCCCTAATATCTCAGTTTCCTTGTAATTATTATATAATAAAATTAAATACTAAGTATATGAAATAATAAAAAGGTTAGCGCATGTGTGA